GTTAACCTAAGAAAAAAAATTGTAGACTAAAAAATGTACAAAGGAATATTTATCAGCCTGTTTTCAGTTATTATTTATTACTGAATTTCAGTAAAATACAAAAAGAATCACAAAATAAAAACCAATGTTCAACAACAGAAGTTGCTTATTTTAATACATAGTACACAGTAGAATAAAATACAGCTAATTTAAAAGTATAAGGTCATTACTGATATAGAAAATGTTCATCACAGGTTATCAAATAATAAAAGGAGTGTTGCAGAAAGGATGTGAGTGATATAAGGGGGCCATTTTATTATCTCTGAGAGGTGAAATTCGTTGGTTTTTAATATTTTTGCTAATGCCTATTTTCTGTTTCTTCATCAAGCATATATTAGATGATTTAAAATTTTTTATTATAAAATTACTGACCTATCTGGAAGGTCATGCTATTCAGGCACTGTGCAAGATGCTGTATCTGCATCATCATTTTAATTATCACATAATCAGACCGGAAAGCTGTTGTTACGTAGTGTTATATAAGCAAGGAATAGAGATTCAGAGAGGTATTTGCTCAAAGCCATATAACCTGAATTCTAAGACAAAACAGTCAACCTAAAGTAAGAAGGTATTAAATGTGTCCAAGGCATGAGGCTGAAAGGCATTTAGTCTTCACTTTCAAGCCACTTAGAAGCCAGTAAATAAGACACGTAGACAACAATTTTTGAACATTGGCACAAAATCCAAATGGTAGTTTCAGAAGGACTCAGATACCTACCTCCTGATGCCCATAATCATAGAAGATGCCAGGTGCCCAACTGCCTTGGTCTCTTAATTATGACTTTGAAATTTCCACTGGGTTGTTTTGTTTTGTCTTATTTATAGCAATCCATATTGTTGTGGTTGTTTTTATTGTGGTAGGAACACATAAGATCTATCCTCTTAAATTTCTAAACACACAATACAGTATTGTTAACTATGGGCACAGATTTGTAAAGCTGATCTCTATAACTTACCATCTTGTATAATGGAAACATTACACCTGCTTAAGGGTAACTCCTCATTCCCCCCTCCTCCCAACCCCTGGGAGGGGGTTCAAGTATTTTAGACCCCTCTCAAAGGGGAGTCCTGCAGTATTTGTTGTTCTGTGACTGCCTTGTTTCATGTAGCATAATATCCTTCAGGTTCACATTGCCACACATGGAGCTCTCAGATTAAGCCCTTTAATGCTTTAAAGCTCAAAACTATTAGAATTTGCCCAATTGCTACTATCCACCACCCACTCCCTCCCATACCAGGGTATCTTTCCTCCATTTGCATAATAAGGACAGCGTTTAAAAAGGGAGCTCTCCAATTGTGTTTCCTAGATTGTAGGTGACATTGCACTTCACCAAGCCTCTTCAGTCCAGACCTCTATCCCCTGAACGTACTTCTGGAAATGCAAAGACAGAAAGGTCTTGAGAGGGATGGATAAAATTAGAAGTAGATAAAATTCCAAGACATTTGAGCCATTGAGTCCTCCTAATGCCCATAGTAATGCCCTCTGGTAATTCTAATTCCACTGTCAGTAAGCTCTCAATGGATCCCATTCTATTTTTTCAGTATCTAAATTACTGCCATATTTCTCTCCCTTCTCCTGATTAAGTAAGGTCACCCGATGAAAGGACTCTCTTAGTTGAACATTTTATTTGAGTCTTCCAGTTAAGGGTGTTTCCACATCTGGGTGGAGTGAGGGGGACAGTGTCTGGCAGTGGACTCTGAAGGCCCCCCCTCATGCAGACATGCCTCTCTGCCTGTCACCTGCTGTTTAAGACAATATACCATTGCTTTGGACTTCTGCAACTCATTTGCACTTGTGCAGATGGGTAGTTGTTGAATCTTACACCTACCTCTAAAACCATAATGTAGCACATATCTTCAATCCGTTTATTTCAAAACACATTAACATATACATACTTGGCCCTCCCTGGTGGCACAGCGGGTTGGAGCACTGCACTAAGAAGCTGAAACCACTTCCACATGAGTTCGATTCCCGCCTGCCCCGGAGGTGACCACATGGCGTGGCAGACCTCTCCTGGCCCGCCCGCTGCTCCCCTCAGCAGTGTACTTCATCGATCTGCCTGTTCTGCTCCTCACTCTGTCTCTGGTGAAGCCTCTCACCACCCCTGCACCTCTGGCCTGTACCCCAGTTCTGTATGTACAAATAAATAAATCTTTAAAAAAAATTTTTTTTAAATATATATATATACATACTCTTTCCCTGTTTCTCTCCCTGTTGGTGGGTTCACTGATTTGTTGGCTGTTCCTTTAGGAAAGGCAGTGGGAGGATATAGGTAGGCACAGACAAAAATGCGTCAGTTGGAGCTTGGCAGTTTTGTCATCAGTTGGCACAAAGTAAAGCCACTAATCCTTAAAGGAATTTTTAGCATAAGTTATTAAACTTTTTTGTAGTGCTCATACAATAACTAAATTTCGACTTTAATTATATATTTACCCTGTGAGGAGTGCCGCAATACAGCCATAAGGTAACCCTGTTGAAGTAATTAAATCCTCATCTGAGATTTTCTGGCTGTATACATTATTATTTGAAATTCCTCTCTACTGTCAGATCGGACCCCAGTATTCATAACTAAAAGAAATGTGTTTGGAGCCAGTTACATTGTCACGGCTTAGGTTGGAGATTCCTTAGCATTAGATCAAATTGCAATAAAATTCAAATATAATGCTATTGTACATATGCATAAAGTCCAACCCTGTGCATAAAGTCTTCCTAAATACAAAACAAAAGCAATATAGACAGAATTTTAAAAAGCTAACAGTCTTCTGAAGCATCACTGAATATTATATGGGAGGAGCAACTTTAGTCCTAAGACTTCTACAACATGTTCTTTATATTTTTGTGAGATTTTACATTTCTTTGCAGGCTGTTTGTGTATTTTCTGAAGGATACATAGGAAAATAAATACACAACAACCAGAGTTCAGTGGCTTTGGTATAGGAGATAATATGTGATTCTTCTAATGGACCTGGTAACATACTTTCTTCTTCTCTCTCTTTTAATTTAGCTCATATTTGATAATGTCTGGCTCTTTTCCATAGATTCAGTCCAATCTCAAGATTAAGTTTAAGAACATGGCCTTGTAAACACAAACCAACCCTTTGTCACTTAGAGTTAACAGAAAAGATAGATTAAATTTGCAAGAAATTCATCTGCAGAAATTATCAGATATAACAGAATTAACTGACCATCTATAAAATGACTTTAAAATGGATTATTTTACTGAGGTACATTTGGTTTACAACTTTATATAGTCTTTAAGTGTACAGTTTTTTACTTTAGCAATCCGAATGTATCATCACACCTTCTAATTTATGTCCTGCTATCACCCACTACCAATGCATGTATTCCCCCACCCACACCTTACTCCTTCCTCCCGCTGCACTAACCACCATTCTGTGGTCTGTCTAAGGGATTTTTCTATATAATGAGGGGAAAAATCAGTGTAAACCTGTTTGACCACACAGTATTGTAGTGTGTATCATGTCTCTCTCTATAGATAGACAAATTAACTTGTGGATTGAAAATTGAATATTACTGTTTCTCTTTAAGATCCTATATTTATTGCAGCACTATTTACAATAACTAAGATGTGGAAACAACCTAAATGCCCCAAAAAAGAATGAATCAAGAAGATGTGGTATAGATACACAATAGTACACTACTCATTGATCAAAAAAGATAAACTCATGCCATTTTCAGGAATATGGATGGAGCTGGAAGGGATCATGCTAAGCAATACAAGTCAGTAGGAAAAAGAAAAATATCGGGTGGTCTCACTTACCGGGGGGATATAGGGGAGCCAAACAAAGGATCAGAAAAAGACAAAACTTGCAAAACATATATCTGTTGTATACAGCTAGAAAGAGAGGCATAAATGGGGTCAAAACAGGTGACGGAAGAGCGCGCGGGACTATGGTGATGGTTCAGAGGTACCATGCTTGTGGGAGAACTATGAGGACTACACCTGAGGAGAGAAATCAAATATGGTACAAAAAATGAACAATAACGTAAAAATATAAATTAACAAAAAAAGAAAGAAAATTCCTGGGTCTATGCTATTAATCCTCCTTCTCCCACCTCATTAAAAATGACTTTTGATCCTCTTTTATGTCTTTTTTATACACTTTGTCCTTATGTCTCCATTTACTACTAAATGTTTGTGGATTAAGTCAGTAGAGTGCTTTGAATTAAGCTCGACTCCTCGTATCCCTGAGTTCAGTCTTTGCATAGAAACATATTTGTTGTTACACATAATCATTTCTTTTTATCAGCTCTTTCCTAGAGCCTATTATTTAATTCTTGCAAATCCACCCTGGCATTTTCCAAAGATGGCAAGTTCAGCCTCTGCTGTGTGACACACACTGATGGCACTGAGAACCTCTGGACCTGCTTCATTAATATGTGCTGATGTGTGAATGTAATGACGACCCCACGTTCTATCTGGAGGAACGGAAATGAATGACAGAGCTGCGCTGGGCTGATGTCAGAGCTGGGAAAGAGGTGAAGAGCATATAAGAGCTGGATTATTGGGTAGCAAATGGAGAAGTAAATAGGCCAGTGGATGCAGGCTTGGGGAAGCTTTGTTGCTGTCATAGGCATTTTCTGATACTGCTGACTCTGAAACATTAAAAGGTAAAGAATTTCCTTTTACTAAAAAAGTATTATTTACCTAGCGGAGAAAAAAAAAATTTACATTAAACATATGGCTTATTTCAAAGAAAGACTGAGGGAATCATGCAGGGCAAGAGTAGAGAAAGGAAAAAGGAAAGAACATTTTGAAAATATTTGGAAATTGCTAGAATAGGAATTAGGAATGCTGTCAATAAAAATATTGATCCTTGGGGATTATGTTTCTAAGAAATATTTTCAAATAGGCTCAGATTTAAACTTCCTTCAATCTGAACTAAGAAGTGTCTTCATTTCAGTGTGGAATTATTCTTTTCAAGAAATTAGAGAAGCAATGTGCATCCTGAAGCTGTCAGTTCTACTCATTGTGCTTGCCCTGGCATTAAATCATCTGGAAGCTATGCCTATGGAAAGGTTAGTAATTTAAAATTTTTCTTGTGTAAAGTGAGGGAAAACTAGAGTTAAATACTTGCTGACTTGAGGGCAGTACCTTAAGCTGTTCAACTATTCCTTGTATTCTGCGTTCTCTAAGAATACTCAGCAGCTTATGAAACTTCTAACAAACACCAATGTAACGTTCTAGCACTATCAGAAATAAGCTGTTGGAATTTAATGTGTCACAGCCAGACCACCAAATAGAAAAAACCAAAAGGTAGTCATTTCTACTATGTTAACCTGAGTCTCAGACTAGAGAAATTTAATGAAGCTAGCTATTTTCTGACAGGTTCTGACCTTTTTCCTCAGAAGGTTAACATCTCCTGGAAACTGAAATAGAAAAAAAATAGGGGTAAATTAAAGCTTCTGTGAAGTTAAATTTAGAAGAACTAGTTAAATCACATTTACTCTTAGGGGAGTCTTTCTATATTGTTAAACATTGTGTTAATTAAGCAAATTATGAAAAAAAAATATATTCTTAATTAGATTACTTCCTAGCTGCTCTAAATATAACTTAAACCCTCCTGAAAATGTTGCCAGTGGGTGCCCTCCCAGCAGGATCTGCTAGGGAGGCTTACTTTGAAACATGTCGTGTCATTTCAGTGAGAATTTAAGTAAATCTGAAATCTGTCAGATGAAAATGTTAGCAGTAATTGCAACTTTCAAATGGAAAGCCTTTAAAAATGAAATTCTCCATTTATTTAACAGTCTTAAATCTAAATCCATGCATATGTCATGAATACTCTTAAGAGGATTTGTTTGTGCGTATGTCAGTTTTAATAACACAGTCTTAGGGAATGAACAGGCTGACTAGAGCAAAAAAAAAATAAGTTTACTTTTGAAAAATATTTGCTTTGGTTCACATTATAGCACTTCTCATTATCAGCATCTTATCTTTTTTCCTTGGGGTGTTTTTGGTAAACGGAGAAAGTCTCTGACAATATGTAAAGATTTTTAGAACATCTACATCTAATAAATGGCAAGAATCACCCTAAGATTTTCTTTGTCATCTCAGGGCTTATCTAGTTTAGAGGTTGCTCTCAGAATTGAGGGTAATATTCCATTGTTTATTGTGACTAAAAATAACTTTTAAACTGACATGAAGTTTCTTCCTAGTAAACTCACGGAACGATTGAATAATAATAGGAAAATTAGCATTGTTACCATTTCTTTCATTAGAAATAGACATTCCCTTTGCACCTTCATCCTCATAATAAACTAGTATTTATGGAATTCACTGAGGAATAGAATAGTATACAACATTATTATCAAATAATTTTCATAGTAGTCTAGCAATTATCACAATCATACTAGTCTTATTATTAGAAATAAGAGTTTCACTTGCAAATACCTCAAATTTCTTTTTAACATGTTTCCTGAAATCAGTATGTTTGGTCATTCTTGTAAGGGAGAGAAATGATTGTTCTGCTCTGTGTCACTCTGTAATATTCTACAATTCTCATAAAAAGCTGAGACTTCTCAGTGTGAAATATAGCTCGAATTTTAAGCATCCTTAAAAGAGATGCTGAATAGGTGTATTATTCAGTGTCACTTTTCTCACAAAATTCAGTCAGAGCATTTGAGATCTTTTCAACTTTTATACATGTCTAGATGGGATTAAAGAGGTAATTAGGGCTCTCCTGATGGCACAACAGGTTAAAGCTCTCTGAAGCCACTGCACCATGAGTTTAATCCCCAGCCAGGGAGGTGACCTACATGGCCATGGCAGACCTCTCCTGACCTGCCCGCTGCTCCCTTCAGCAGTGTATTTCAGTACATCTGCCTGTTCTGCTCCCCACTCTGTCTCTGGTGAATCCTCTCACCCACCACACCTTTGGCCTGTACCCCAATTCTGTAAGCATAAATAAATAAATCTTAAAGAAAAATAAAAAGGGAGTAATTAACTTTACAAGTCACACCAAAAACAAAAACAAACAAAAACAAACAAACAAAAAAACCAGCTGTTATATTTGTGACTAAGTCTTAAAAGGCTGCCCACCAAATTTTCAAACTCAGGTAGAAACAGAGTCTTGCCTGGCAGATTAGTGGATAGCAAGTTAAGAATTAGGAGCTAGGGGCCCTCCCTGGTGGCATAGCAGGTTAAAGCACAGCACTAAGAAGCT